AGGTGCAAAAAGGGCAATCATCCTGGGAACTTTGACGCTGTTCAGCGTATCTTTTGCAGCTGTATTATCAGGTGTCGTTCCGCCATTTACTGAAGACACTGCCAGAGCTGTAAATGTAAATGCCCATTCTTACCTTTAAGCAGTCACCTTACTCAATTCTAATTTATGTGCAACTGTCCTGGCTTGCATGATTCATGATGCTTTTATACAACACCAAATCTTATCCCACTAGATGGGGTTAGCTACATCAATTGCACAACATCATTGTGCTCTATTCACGATGCTTCTGTGCTATCACTAATTTTAAATGACAAGCATAATGCTGGTTATATAACAGTTTGTCTTCTTCTGTGCATGTGAGCCGCTTGATTTCATTTATAACTCACCATAACTTACCTGTACTGAAAAGTAAAAGCATTAACTTTTTTGTAAAATCTCTTTCAACTATTGTTAAAATAGATAGTGAAAGGTAAAATTTGAAAACTTCTTTCTGCATTGACCCTGTATCATGACACTAAACAAACATTTCATGTGAAAACCCGTAGTTTCTCAATACCCATGATATTGTTATCGGACTACTTTATCACTTCTTTCTTTCTGGCCTATTAATGAGAAGATATTGCCGTACCATTTTTGGGAACTTGTTGACTACTGTTTCTATTTCTGGAAGTTCCAGGTTTTTACTCATTCCCTCATTACCTAGTCAAATTATTGCCACTAGGCAGAAAGCATTAGCAGGAGTAATTAGATCCCAAATTGTTTCTGTTTTAAGGGCGTTGAAGGATCTTAATTTACTTCTTGACGGTGTAGGCCCTCCCTAATCGGTGATTCTCGAAGTGTAAATTGTAACCCCCCCCCCCCTAATCGGGGGGAGTTTGACCTTCTATCAGTCTGTCCTTGGATAGTTTAAAGTGTCTTGTCCAACTCTCTTGTGGTTTGTTCAGGTACCATTAAACCACCATGATCCATGGCCTCTTTCAGTCTTAATTTCAACAAAATTAATCATGCGAAAACAAAAGGATGAGCAATTTCATTGTCAAAACTATACTTCACATATACTTTTTTTAAGGCTATTATTGGAATTTAGCTGAAGTTTTGAAATTTAAATTATCGACTTAGTCCTAACATTAGCCTCAGATATTAGTGAAACAGACATTTAACACAAGCTATTCATTGTTTAAACATAAGATTCAGGTGATTGTTTTAGTTAATATTTAAATGTAACGCCAAATATTCTCACACATGCTCTTCACATTGTACATTCGGGGTATATTTTAGGTTGTACATGTTGTAGATGCAACAGGAAACTTTGCTGAAGGGCAACAAAATATATCATCATATGTGTCATTATTTTCTACTACTCCTGGAAAATTGATAAAGGAGGTAGAACAGATTCAAGAAGGTTTTGTATGTGGGAGAGGCAAAGAAGTTGATTTTGTGACTTTCTCAGTCAAGTATGGTTGCTGGACTTCTAAGGACACTGAAAGTGACTGGAGTGAGTCAGAAATTCCTAAGCTTCATGTTGATAGTGATGCGAAAGGAGATGAAAGGATTACAAGAGTTTCAATTGATACAAAGGGTTCAGTCCGCTGGGTTATTGCAATCAATACAGAAGAAATAGAAGATTTCAAGTTTGTAGGTATAGTTCCTTTTGTTTTAAAAGCCTACTCTTTTATTTTTTATTTGTCTATATTACCTTTACATTCTTGAGTCTTGAGAAGTTGAGCCTTTCCGCTCTTGAATTTTTATCTTCATCTAGAAATTTTCAATATTTACAAGTTAGGTAAAATAGTATCCATTTTTCTCATAAAAACAGTATCCGCTTTAGACATAAACACTAGCTAGGAAAATAATAGGACATGTTTGTATGATATCTTTTAAGTCCTTTAGTGTTTCCTGTTTCTGGTTTGGTTCCTTATTAACGTCAATCTTTGTATCTCCCTCTTTCATACTCAGATACTGAAAACTCGGAAGAATTAATCCCGGTGGGCAAAAAGGGCAGCGTGGATGGTTGGCACATGATCCAGTTTTCAGGAGGAAGGAATGCACCAAAGTTGTTTGAGCTGACTCTGTTCTGGAGAAGAACAGGTTCAAGTTCAGCTCAGACATCTAAGGATGTTGTTGGTGGGGTTAAGAATGACCAAAGGCCTCTCGTGAAACTAAGGACAGATGTGGACAAAACGACAGCCATAACCAAAAGAATTCTGATGAAGCTTCCTCGTTGGTGTTCTTTGTTTGGGAAGTCTACTTCTCCTCATTACTTTGCCTTTTTAAGAGACCTTCCTGTTAACTTTAAGCTGCTCTGAGATTGAAGAGAGACTTTATTTAGTCCACATGCTACAGTCATGGCCGTGACATAAACTCTAATAAAATCCTCAGTTCAGTAGTCATGGGAATTTATTTTGTAATGTCTTTTTTTTTTTTTGGGATTTGTGTAGAAAGCAATTAAATTTTAATGTTGAAACAAACTGATGGATTTGAAGTTCACGTTTTGGCCAACTCAACTGATGAGTTAGGCTTGTTTTTTCCCTAGCATCAATAGATCTTGTTTGTGCTTAACTTTAAAGATTTAAATAGATAGATAGATTTCTTAAACATGTTGTCAGGGATTCGATCCCTAACCATATGTTATGTGATTTCTACATTTTAAAAAGGATTAGTCCTTGTCGGTTGGAGATATCATTGATGCACACCAAAAAAATAATTACAAAATTAAAGAGAAACCATTAACTATAATGAGTAATAAATATTTTCAAATCCTGGAACTAATTAATCTTTTTTAGGGCTTTTGCAGATATAATTCATGTTATAAGATCAAATCAAGTAAGCAGTCCAACATTTATTGTATTTTGCATTGTAGCTGGTTTATTATATTTGTCAATAATATACTGTTATATACTTCCTCCATTTAAAAATGTAAAATATTTTTAACTGAATTTTACACCCCAATAAAGTAGTTATCTACTTTCAAACTAACCCCATTTTTTATATTTACCTCTATTAAATACCTTACAATAAATATAAAGTCATTATCAATAGGGGTACTTTTAAAAAAAAGACAATGATTATATTTCAAGAGATTAAAAATGCTTTACATTTTTTAACATTCAACTCTTTTAAAAATGTCTTACATTTTTGAACGAAGAGAGTATCAATTATAAATCCTTTGTAAATTTTTGAGTTTTTAATTATAAATTATTTTTATATCAATGTAAAACGACTATACTTTTAAATTTTTTAAAATTTAATTTATATTTTTTAGGCGCAAGATTTTTTTTCAGCCAATGTACTACTAATTTATCTTTCTTTTATTTTTCTCTAAACTTCTATAACTAGTTTATCAAGATTAGGGAATACAGTTTAAATTAGTTAGAATTAATAAATATGTTACAAATATATTTTTTCTAAAAATAATTGAATGGTGGCTTTTAATAATTGATTTTATTAATGAATACTCCATTTTATATAAAAAAGATACGGATGATCAACGGGAGTTGGGATTAGCCTGCGACAGGATTCCTTCTAACTGAAAAATAACGGCAAGCAATCAAAAGAATATCAGAGATATTAACTCATTCCTCTGTTGCATATTCTGTTATTCATACTAAACGAGAGGGGCGAGAGGGGGGGAGGGAGTACATAGGGCCATGTTAGGGTTTGTTTGATTTTATTACTTTTAACATTTTAAAAATACTTTTTTATTTTTTAAAAATTAAATGTTGCTTGATTTTTAATTTTTTTTAAAAAGTTTATTTAAAATTTTTTTTGAATATTATTAAATGTGCTTTAGGTTAATTTAAAATAATGAAGCTTTTAAAAAGTGAATTTAAAAAATAAGATGTTATCTAATTATATTATTTTAAATTTAATCTCTCATTTTTATTTAAAAATAAGTCAATTCATTAAAAATAGAAATATCATTTCAATGACAATAATAATTAAGCATCAAATTTTTAACATTAAAAATTAAATAATTAATCATATTAATTTTTAGCATTAATATATAATACAAATTATAAATCTTTATCACATTCTTTAAAATTACAAATTAAAAAAGTAAAAATGACTAGAGGTCAAGTTTTTAGCATTATAGATCAAATGTTATATTATTTAAAATATTTATCATACTTTTTAAATATTTTAAATATATTATATTTGCATAATAAAAATTATAAATCATCATAAATTAATATTTTTTTTATAATTATACATTTAAAAACACATTTTATTATTATAATGTAAATAACTTTTAATGTACAAAACTGACTTTTAAAAAAATATATTTAAATACAAATTTCATTACAACAACTGGTTGTTATTAAATTAATTTTATTAAATAAGTTTTTATCAAATAAACTTTTAAAAAATTAAAATAAATTTTTGATAAATTAAAAATCAAACTCACACTTAGAGATCCAAGGCGCCGAGGCATAGAATAGAGCCGGTAATTTAGGCCAAGCCTGACGAGTTAGTCCGAATTGGCCCGAAAAATTTTAAGGCCGGCTTAGAAAAAAATATTTTTTATGTTCGGGTCTATTCGGGCCGTCTTGAATAGGCTCGAAAAAATTCAGGCCAAGCCCGATCGGGTTCGGGCTTGGCCCGAATACCCGAATAAAAAATTATATTTTTAAAAATTATATAAAATATAATAAATATTAATTAATTCTTTAAGTTTTAGATTATTTTATACTAAAATACCATGTATTTGAGTCCTAGACATCATTTAAGTATTAAAAAAATATATTTTATAATTTTTATAAAATAAAATAATTAATTTCAAAGAAAAAATAATTAAAAATAATTTTAAAAATTAAATTCTGGTATTCGGGCCGCCCGAAGGAATTCAAGCCGGAGTTGACTATTTGGGCCTTTTAAAAGAGTCAGGCCTATTTAAATTTGGGTTTATTTGGACCGAGTTTGAATAAATCCGGTCTGCCTGAATTCTCGGCTCTAGCATACAGAAGCAAAGCAAAACAAGGCAACGTCGGTCCAGTTGTGGTCACTAATGTGACCTCTCGTATCCACTAGCCACGGCCTGCAAGCCTCAAGGACAAGGGAGTCCAATTTGGATGCTTTGAGACTCCGTTTCATCGCCCTCCTTCTCTTTCTCCCTCTGGGTCCTGTCTCATGACTGGTAACTCTTGCTGTGTTAGTGGGTGGAGAATCCAGAGAAGAGAATCCTGGGATTCTATTTCTACTGAGTGAGGGACGTCCACTAGAATCAGATACACCCTTCGAGAAATGCGGACTATTCCTTTGGGAATTTTAGCATCCCCAACTCCTGCAAATAATTTCGCCAATTTCAGAAAACCAGCATCTTTCCCGTCAAGGGTTTCTCTTTCTTCTGCTAATGGATTCTCTCTCCTTTCCCTCTGCCAATCAGGTGCTTCTTCGCATAATCCCCTGTTCTGTGCTTGTCATTCACAATTAGCCTGGCGGGTTTCGTTTTCAAGTTTTCTTGTTAAGAAATGCTGTTGATAGTTAGCTGAATCTGTTGTTTTAGCATGTCTCTGATAAACCTTGTCATTCTGGGATGGGTCATAGGTCTTGAGAGATTTCAAAGGATTTGGTCAACTTGTGATATTGGCATGATTAGTTAGGGGGACAGCAAAACTGAATGGAGAAGATATAAAAAAGTAGACGTATTATAAATGAGTTGAAGGGAAAGCATGATTAGATAAATGAACTATAAAATATGCAATCAAGTTAATGCCTTTCCAGTGAAATGAAATATGAAATACCTCCTTCCATCCCCAAACTTGTCAAGAAATTTCACTTATTTATTTGGTGTAATTTTGATCTTATGCGGATTAAATTCTTTATAATGGGCTGCATCTTCTGTCAGTTTATATGTTATGTAGAAAATAATTACAGTAGGCTAGAATTAAAAGCTGTAGGTTAAAGGGTGAAATGTCTCCATATATACATATTAACTTGTGGGGTGGTTAAATTTCTGGTGTTGGGATGTAGGACTTTGCAGAGCTAGTCAAGTTGTTGATCTATTCCCAACTATGTCTCCGGAAATCATCGTTCGAGAGGCCAGATTAGAAGACTGTTGGGAAGTGGCAGAGACTCACTGCAGCTCCTTCTTCCCTGAATATTCATTCCCGCTGGACTTTGTGCTGAGGATGGACAGACTGGTGGCAATGTTAGCAGGATTCTCTTTACCCAGCGGTTGCAAAAGAACCTGTTTGGTTGCTGTTATAGGCAGGTCACTTAGTGAGACTTTCTTTATTGGGGGTGAAGATTTCAAGATTGGTGGGTTAGATGGGAGAGTCAGTCTCAACAAGGGATATGTGGCTGGTATATTAACAATAGATACTGTTGCAGACTTTCTCCCACGAAGAGGACCACTGAGACAGAGAAGGTGAGTGCAAAAATTAACGTTATTTGTCTTTAGGATTGATGATGCTAAAGATCTGGCTAATAAAATGTTGTCAAGTTTTGATTTGTGAATTTACCATTTTCCCTAAGGACGTTGTACGTCGGCAAATAAAATTACTGACTTCACCTGCAAAATCCTAATTTTGGGATGGAAAATGATGCTCTAACTCATGGTTCATGACTGACTAAAAATGGAATTCATTTTTATCATTTTAAATTTTAGTATTATGCAGTCTTTATCTTTTGTCAAATTTGTTTATGTTTACTGGAGTATATTTGGTTAAAGCATAATACTTAAACTTTATACTCCCTTTGGTTGAAGAGTTTGTTTTAATACTTAACTTTAAGACCTCAATCGCTTTTGTCTTCCGCGTTAATTGTTTTTATCCTAGACTGCCCCTATTTATTGCATAATTTGCAAAAGAAATTAGTAGTAAATAGATTGAATTAAATGGGAGGGGGAGTTTTAGGAAAAGTATCGCATATTAATGGAAAATAACTAGCCTAACTTATTTTCATAATATGTGTGAATTAGGTAGCAAGCTCCTACATTTAGGAACGGAGGGAGTATATGATTGTTGCCCTTTCATTTGATCATCCATGTATAGTACTTTACAAAGTATTGCGGCCAAAAAGACCATGAGCATCCCATTTTTCAGATCTCTTCTAATTCATTGGTAATTATGAAAAGGATATTTGAATTTAAACTAGATATGCACGAAATGCTATTTTCTGATTCATTGTATTCACCCTACATTCTTTGTCTTCATTTTATGGAGGCTTATAAAACCTCCATTGTCCCTCAAAAAGGTTGTTCTACATTTTACTTATTTTCTATGTGGGCATCAAAGAATGATAGTATTCTTGCTTCACATTTTATTTTGTTGAATTTAAGATAAGAACTGATAGTAGCCAGTAAGGTTTGCGTTGGCTTGTTCAATTCTTCAAAAATAGAGATTAACTGTAAGACAATGTCAAGAGATGAATGTAAGATTGCTAAACTGTAACAAACCCTATGGATTTTGACATGTTTGTGAACATCTTTTACCTATGAATCTTTTCTAAACCAACAATAAGTCTTATCTCATTAGATGAGATCGGCTACATAAATTTTTCCCAATAACCAAAGAAAAAATTGTTGATGTTGTAGGACTGGGATTGCATACATATCCAATGTAGCTGTCCGGGAAAAATTCAGACGCAAGGGGATAGCTAAAAGATTAGTAGAAAAAGCAGAATCTCAGGCCAGAACTTGGGGGTGTCGGGCAATTGCATTGCATTGTGATTCGAACAATATTGTAGCCACAAGGCTATACCAAGGCCATGGCTTCAAATGTATCAAGGTGCCGAAAGGAGCAAACTGGCCCCAGCCAAAGACCTCACCAAATATTAAGTTCAACTTCATGATGAAGCTTCTCAGTAATTCAACTGCCTCTTAGATATAGTTTTGCTTGCAGGTTATATTTATGCTGTCAAACAGGTTTTGTTGGAAAGAAATTTTAGGAAGGTTCTGTCTTTTACTAGAACTAATGTTGTTGTGTATATATTTTAGTTGCGCGCGACATGCTTCATGTGTCTGATTGATACTCACACTATATGACACTTCAAATTGTACAAGAACGGTGTATGTTTTTATTATTATTACTTTTTTTAATGTCTTGGTATTCCTGCTTCTTAGGTGTAAAACCAAGGAATCAGATGCAAAGTATCTTTTAGAATCTTTGACTGAACCGGTTGTAAACATTTGTATAGTTGTGATGATCCTTCTGTATGAAGGTAGACATCATCTTCTACAGCTGTTTCGTTTGGCTTTATTTCATCTCTCAGAAACTCTGTTACTTAGCTACCTTCAAGTTTGTTTTGAAAATCGATTCATCTATAGAGATGATTAGATGATTATGTAGTTTTTGCACCTGAGCACCTCTGCATTTCCCAACGATTGAGATGTTTTGATAGTGTTTAGTACTTGAATCAACTGGTAATAGAGTTATCCAACTTAATTAAAAGTTTTGAATTTGAACCTTAGGTGTGTAGTATTGGTTCGTGGGAGTTATATGTCTTCCAAGAGGTTTCTAAGTTACAAGCTATCGAGGATACTGTTCTGAAAAAAAAAAAAAAGCCTTTTGTACAACCTCAGAGAGTGGTGGAGACGAGAATATGATGTGTGGATAAGTGTGTTTGAGAAGGTTCAAGTTTTGAACTTCGGCTATTTCTTGAAGTCCAACTAATGTTTTATTTCTAGTTGTACCAAACAGAGTAGGTCTTGATAATGATGGCAATTAAATATCACTCCAAGTTGGCGGGTGAAGTTTGGCGAAGGGTAGTGTATTTGTGTGTGTGTGTGTGTGTGTGTTTTTTTTTTTTTTTCTTCTTTTCTAAATTAAATCATTAAATGTACTTGTCTTGTCAACAAAGTTTACATGCACTTAACCAATCACTAAATTGACTATGGACAATGCAATGTCGTATAAAGGCTTATCGATATATCAAAAAACTAGAGTGGATTCCAATTATTCAAAATTATGTTATAAAGAATATTTATTTATTATTTTCCCAAAAAAAAACTAAAAAAGTATGTCATTCTTTTGTTCCATCCATCGGACCCATGTTATGCCAATGCGGTCCAGTGTGTAACTATAAAATTAACGGAAAAAGAATCCAGCCCGTGAGGTATCCGGCTTATGGCCCACTAAATCTGTAGATTTTAGTTAATTATGTAATTATTACATTTTTAATATATTACTAATTTTCTTTAGAAAAAACTAGCAATACTCCATGCATTAGCAGGCACAATAATTCAGTCAATATAAAAAATTAGACTGGTGAATTATATTGTTCATATAATTCACAGAAGGAGTTGACTTTTTGTATGAAAACTGCATATAAAGCCCCTTCATGTTTAGTGAATAATGCTTTTGCCTGTATAAAATACTTTTTTTAAAAAAAATAGGGATCATAAATGAAACTCAGGATGTAGAGTTAGAGAAAAACTGGAAGGGGGCCAACCTCAACATTGTTTGATATTAATTCCTCCAATTCTATTTATAAAGTTAAAAGAAAATATGTTTTTATGGTAAGTTATTTCATTTATTTTTCATTTTTTCCCCCATTATATCTAACTCTTCTTGAAAAGGGTCCTGTACATTTGCATCACTCAAACACTTTACACAAAACACGCACATCACTTACCTATTCCACACACATACACCACATGGGAAATGAACTCAGAACCCTTGCTTCAGGGGAGAGTTTTTTACAAAATATTTAAAATATAATAAATATTTATAATTTTTAAGTTTTAGCTCATTTTATACTAAAATATCATATATTTAAGTCTCATACATTATTTAAATATCAAAAAATATATATTTATTTTTTTATAAAATAAAATTCGGGTACCTCAAAGCCCAAAGAAAATCAGGCCAAGCTTTGTTATTCTAGCTTTTTAAGGAGTCGGCCTGTTTGGAATTGGGTTTATTTTAGCCGAGCCTGAATAGATTCACCCCGCCCAAATTTTCAGTTTTAAACTAAAGATTGTCAGCACAAATTCTTTCCTTTATTTCCAACAAATGTTAGTAAAAGAAAGTGTATATATTATTAAAATATGTATATTTAATAGGAATAAAATTAAAAACTTCTTAAATTTTTTGATAAAGTTAATAAATTTTAAATTTTTTTGATAAAAATAAATTATAAGTGGCTTATAAATAAAATGACCGGGTAATTAATTAAGAATTCTCAATGTCCAACAGAGAAACAGTTCATAAGATCCAATGGCAAACCCAGAAGCCAAGAAGCGAAATCCGAGCGTTCGCGAAAGTGTTACTCTGAAATCTTTGACTTAAACCAGACAAGAACAGAGAAACTTGAGTTGAACGTGCAATCTGTCTTGGCTCCTAATCCATCAGAAAGCTTTTTCATTAAAAAAACCAAAAGTTGCAGACCCAAATACCTAACCAGTTGAACCCTCATGACATTCGACAATCCCCATGTGGCAAATCTGCTGTCTCTGTTGGGTTGACTTCACCATCCTCATAAAATAATTCCAGCTAAACCCCTTTATTTATTCTTAATTAATTACACTTTTAAACCATTTTGCAAATCAATTCAGTCCCTCTGGCTCTGGATCTGAACAGGACGGCTTTCTCTTTGCTCCATCCTAGTAACAAACCGTCACATTAAATTTCTTACTCTATAGAAATGTCAATGCATTTAAGATTTGGTTAAATTGTAATTTTTTTTTCTTGAATTATAAGTCCACAAGAGCTTGGGATTTTATTTTTCAATATGACTTTTCAACATTTAAAAATAATGTAATGTTGCCCATGCCAAACTTTAAATTTAAACGTTAGCTAATCATAAAATTATAGCAAAAAAGTTTTAAAAATTATAAAAAATGACCCGAAAAAATATAAATAAATATTTTATAAAAATAGCATCAATTAAGTATCCTAATTAACCTAAATTGGTTGTTGCCCAAAAAAAAAGTAACCTAAGGTAGTTGGTCAATGATAATGATTTAATAATCACCTAACAGTCAATCAAAGTAATTCATCAAGATGATATTTAGCTTTTTGCTTGAACAAGAAATAGAATTCATTTTTTAGTATTTATTTTTAATCTAATAAAACTAATCAATATTAATTTTTTATAAAATATTTATTTGTAATTTTTTGGAAAAACATAATTATTAGTTTCTGTGTCTTATTCTATTTTATTGTCTATAGTTTTTTTCAAAGTTTTCAGTCCCTACATTAAAACTACAGAGACTTGAGTAACAAACGTTGTTCAATCTTTATGAAATTATAAGAATTGAAAATACTAAAAAAAATTATAAGAACTAAAAACAAAACCCGATAAAAGTATAAGAATTGATGGTTGTGTTTTTCATAATTTTTTATATTTTTTAATTAACCAACAAATAAAATTAATTTTTATTAACAGTAGGATTAACATTGGCTAGTTTTTAATTATTGAATGAAACAATGAACCTAAAAAAGTTTAAAATTACATACCTTCCTCAATTTATAATTTAAAAATAAAATTGCTCTTTAACTCAATAATATTTGATTTGAACGATTCAGACTATATCAAAAACAGGCGGTGAAGAAAAACTGGAGTGGATGTGAAATGAAATGGGAAGAGAAAGCAGGGTTGGAGAATCACATGAAGCAACAAAGGCACGCAATTTGGTGAACACAACTTAGGATTAAACAAATGAAGAAACATTAAATCTTTGACCAACACAAACACACAGCTTGTGCCGATGTTTGGGGCATGGGATTGTTGAACTGAGCTGTATTCCTTGACTTTTGCGTATCTTGATGTCAATGCCATCCACACCTTCAACTTGCAATTATATTAATTTACTTATCTGCTATAAATGAACCTATTAATTACTGACTTTGATGCTTGAGCAAGTCAGAATCTGAAGCTACCTAAAATTACTAGAAGCACCAAAAATATAAAAAACAATTTCTAAAATAATTGATTAATTAATTAATTAAACTGAGATCCCAATGCGTTCATCTACAGTCTTCCTGTAACTGCGCCATTCTTGGGGACTGGAATGTGGATTGCAAAGTTATCCTTTTGTCATTTTAATTAATTATTTATTAGGAGGAACTTGCTTAGATACTAACGTTGCATTTATGTAGATATTTGGAAACGTTAACGTCACAGTTGTAGAGTTGTATCGTATAAAATTACAATTAGAATGTCTAAGTCATTATTAAAGTTGTCATGTTAATTATAAGGATTAGGGAAAAATAGATTAGTTCAGCGATTGAAAGAAAAAAATTAGAAATGATTTCTTTAAAAAAAAATGTAATGATTGACGTAATTTTAGATCTCTAAAAGGTCTTCACCAAAATAAATATATTTTACTAATGTAAATAAACAACTAGAGAAATGAAGCCCAAAAGGTATTTAAATATCCAACATTCTCAAATATTTACATTTTGACCCTGAATATTAAAAAGACAAAATTCATAAGTTGCTAAATTGGTCAAAAACGAAATTTCCATGTTTAAATATCATGTCACAACAAAATCTAATAATCAAGTTAAAATGACGGCATACCAAATTATGCATATGAAATATTCCATCAAATACATAAATCCTGCTTCTCTCCTATGCAGCTTTCCTTTTCACCTCTTTTGTGAAATCTGTATTATTCAAATTACATAAACACAGTTCAAATTTTCATATTCTATAACATTTAAAATTAAATAACTTTAAATAGTTAAAATTTGATTTGAATAGTATAATACTTTAAGAGGGGGAAGAAGAAAAAATGAAATGGAGAAAACGAAAAGTTGAAATATTTCTCATTTTTTTCATTCATGTTAATCATTTAGGATGTCATTATCACATTTTTAATGCCTTAATAATAAAACAAAAGTAAATGGTGAACAAAGAGTTGATAGTGTTTGGGGACAAAGGTTTAGTGGTGAAGCTATGTAGTATCTCGCTAGACTAGATGCTCTAAAACCAAAGCCGCACGCTTCAATCCCTTCATAGTGTCCAAAAGTAGAGTTTTATAAATAACTTCAAATAAAATAAAGCACAACGGAGTCTGCAACCAGGTGTTGCGTACTTATAGCCTCTCTTGTGATCATCAACTTGATATTATATTAAACCTAACCCTAACCCTAAATCAATCTATGTTTTAATCTTTACTCCTCATATTTACAGGGCAAAGATTGGCAGATTTTTTTAATTATATTTATAAGGCATGTCATTAATTTTTTATTACGAATTTCTCTTTTTACCCCCATTAAATATTGGTGAAAAAAGGTACTCACTCCCATCCCTATTATAGGACACCTTATAAAAAAATTCTTTGATAATTAATATAAAATACTTGATCAGATATTAATTTTATTTTTTAATATTACTCTTATATAAACTTATCAACTATGAGGGAATATGCCATGTAAGTTTAAAAATATTTTAGTTAAATAAGAATAAAATTAAAAGTTTATTATATTTTCAAACAAAATTAATGACTTAACCACTCATTCTTAATTCCAATAAAATAGTTGGGAACTTAATATGAATAATTAATAAAAGTGAAATTGAAAATTAAATCAAATTTTTAGATTGAATAAATAAGTTTTGAAATTTTCTTTAACTTCAATGAAACATGTTAAAAGTGATTTATAAAAATATTAAAATTAATTTATAAATATGTTCAGAATGTGTATAAAACTATAGGAGTTAAATAATCCATTCACCTATTAAGTCCTCTGTGAAGGTTAGAGAAGAAAAGACCAGAAATGGAGCAGCTTCTTTGTTTTATTTGGTACAGCAGTTTCTGCCTTTCCGATTAGTTGCTCCTTCCTTGAGTAACTCCAATAAACAGACTTTTTGCATAAACACCAATAGTTCTTCACAAAACCTTGAATTTGTAATTTTTTTTTTTTGGCTAGTATTTCTCAATTCTGTAGATGCTAAAGTAGGCGGCAAAGAAGGAAGAACACTTTACTTTGAGGGTCAAGAGGGTCATCTCATCACAGAATGAAATGGAAATATAGCATTCTTAAACAAAATACTAATGAGTTACAACATTCCGAGATTGGAAGAAGTGGGATTTTCCCCCCATCTTCTACTGACAAAAATACAAAATACAACCTCTGTTGATTGCAAGTTAACGAAAATATTACCAATATAGTTTCGTCGGAGTGGTCATTCAGCTGCAGTAACAGTTGGTGGTTATGAACCAAATAACAAATATTTTGGTTAACTTGCAACTTATGGCCTGACTAGATTTACGACAATCAAAATCCAGCACTATACAACAAAGGAAAACTTATGCTATGAGTGACAGCTTGGATCTGCAAGAATTGTTTGCCTCCTTGCTGTCTAAATCAAAGAACTCACTGGCACCACAACAACAACTAAAACAATTTTCATGAATTATAAAGCCAAACACAAGAGGTTAACGTTTTCGGCTCCAATATCAGAATTATGCTGATCTTTGTACCAGGGAGACCCTCCTTCAGAAGAATTCTCAGTTGGACTGTTTCGGTGCAAAGCAGATCCGGAGCCATCGGAAACGACATTGAACGCCTTCTGGGAATTCCCTTCTGATGAACTATTCCCAGTTGTGCTAGCAGAGGTACTGTTTGAACTCTGCTGCTCAGTGTGAATGCGTTGGCCAAACAACAAGATGTGCGGTGTTTTGGCATCAACCGGTTCCTTCAAGATCGGGCTGGGATTTCCCATGGTCAACAAGCACGATATCTCAGCATTGTTTTTCAGGCTGCTGTTGTAGGAGCTACGAGGTCTTGGAGGCTGGACAGCATGGTCAAGCCTGGGAATTCTGCCCAGAAGCATATCTGATTGCAGCTTGTTGAAAGGGAAATCACATGGAGAGAGACCATATTGAGCATGCCTGGCTCCCTGTATGCCTGCAGGACTGTAACTGTCATGAACTCTACACGGGGAGTTAGTTTGATTGAGGAGATTTGCGGGGAATGGTGGCATAGGAAGCTGATTGAGGAGAGGAAATTCCGGATGCTGAAGAAACCGTGACTTCTTTCTTGGCGGTGAGAATGGAGAGAGATGGAAGGTTGGCATATTTGAGACTAGTTCAACCAACCAAGGGTTCACACTCTTAACATTCTGAAGCAAATCTGGTTCATCCCACGCCACCTGAAACATGAAAACAACAAAAAAAATTATATTAAGCATATTTATGTGATATGGATGAACTGGGTATATTCTAGCATTGATTTGGCACACAGGTAATGTGAAATAATAAGTAGTCGTGCTTGATTTGCAATCTAAGTACATGAAGGTTGTATAACAGTTAATACAATTAATGAGTGTTACTAATCTGAAGTCAAATCTCGTAAATTCTATATAAAGCAAAAAACAATCCAGCACATTTTCAAGTAGTACTCGACTGATACAGATGACAAGAAAAATCAGCTCAACCTGACAAACTTTTAACTCTTTCATCTTTTTTCCGGCATTCATTATAGCTTTGTAAAGTACACAATAAGTTGGAAAGATTAAAAGTAAAACAGGGTTCAACGTGGAAGAAGTACAAGAAATAAATATAGGTTCATCACAGTTTTATAACAAATAATTCAAGATGGACGCTAACATTAGAACCAATTTAGCCTACAGGAAATGGGATCTACATAATAGTTAGAGAATCCATTCAGTTGCAAGATTCAAGCAAGTGAATATCGGAAACGAGGAATGAAACTCCAAATGGTGTGTACCTGTAGAAGACGCCATGGAGAATCAGGCCAGCGAATGGGATCTGCAACCTGAACAGAAGATATTGTTCCCATGAACCAGCTTATCCTGGATGAATCCTCAGTTTCAAAGGGCATTTTGAATCTCATCCCAGAACACCACTGTATTTGCATTGCAGCCCTCACCGACGAGGCCTTAACGCAGAATTCCGGCGTGCTAGCTCGCGGATAGTACACAACCTCAAAAGGCCTGCCATTAACGGCAGAAGTTACAGCTTCAACAACGGATTCAGCAGTCACTCTTCCCTTCATCTCCTCCTGATATTTTCTTCTCAACAATGAGTTTTCATCTTCTCGCATGAAACCTGAATTCCCACCAAATAGTGGGACTGCCTGATTCCAGCCAGTTGGATACTCAATTCCACCTCCAATCTCCTTCTTAGCCCTCCTTATTCCAACGCAAAGATCCCCGTTTTCAGCCCTCAAGAACACAATGGAATCCCCAGCAACAAGCCTCTTCTGGTTCACAAAATTGCTCCATCCAGTTGTTAAGAGGTGCCGGCGAGGGGTCCCTCGATAGATATGCCTAAACTTCCAGTTCTGTCCGTGCACATCCTTGGCAATAATGGTCTGAACCGGAGGCTCAGCAGAATAATCCAACCTAGGAAAGATGGTCTCTGCACAGTAACGAGGCACAGAGAAACCCCCACCATTATTGGCGTCAGATTGAGTCAATGTCTTTGCAAAAGAAGCCGGCTTTTCTTGACCATCAACGCCATGGTTCCCCAGAAAAGCATCATCTTCAAGACCCATTTCATTATCCCTCAGAGGTGTCAGCCTCATTTTCACAAACACCTCATCTGTGTCAGGGTCTGCCATGTATTTCATACCAGAAATCCTGCAAGGAATGAAGGAAGGAATTCGGGTGGACCCGAAATCTGCCTTCCCCTGGGCGTGCTCTGCATGGCCCTGAGGGAAGTAGAAAACCTTGGAATTGATGGGTGGCATTTGAACCATCGCACCGGCACAGGCGTGCCATAATTGAGAATCTAAGCACTTTTCCGAGGAAGAATCTAAGCACTTTTCCGAGGAAACCCTCTCGTCCATAACCAGAAACATCTTGAATCAGATGAAAAGGACAAAATCCTTTCTTCAAAGAGATGCTGTACTGCAATTCGAAGCAGTTATAATAGGAAAAACCAACAATAAATGAAATCTGAAAATACCCAGAAAGGAATTGAAGTAAATAACATATATACTAGGGATTTGACGTGGAGGGATAGAAATCAAATTCGCAGGTAGAGAAAAAGGGTTATGAACTAAGTAACAGGAGGGGAAGGGGATGTATGGAGAAGAAAGAAAGGGTACGACTGTGATCGAGAGGAAGAGGAACAAGAGGAAGGCAGATAAAAAGGAGAGGAGCTAGGAGTGAGAGTCGGAGAGTTTAGAGAGCATAAGGACAGGCAGTGGTCACTGAGTCACGCGTCAAAGGTTCTTTAACTTGCCGACCACAATGTGAAGCGGACGGTATTGACAGAGAAGGACAAATACGAAGTTCGTGCCCCTCTTTTTTCTTTTTATGTTAAAAGAAAAAAAGACCGTCCTTTCAGCTTTCTTTACCTGTTATTCATTTGTCGGTATATTATCCTAATTCCTGGCTTCTTTTATCATGTTTAGTTTTTTGTTTCCGCTCCTCAGATCCTTTCTACAAAGCAGAGAAAGGAAAAAAAAAAAAAATTATTTACAAAACATTTATCAATTCTCAATATTTCTCTTTACATTTTTATTTTTATTAAATATTTAAATAAAAATATTAATAATAAAATTTAAAAATATTTATTAAAAATTAGGTAAAAACTTATTAAATTTTAAAATTTTTTTAATTTTAATAAAATATATTAAAAGTAACTTATAAATAAAATTATAAAGAGTATTTAATATTTTTGATATGTTCAATTCAATTATTCAACGTGAAGGGCTCCCATCGTCCCAATGTATACAATACTTTTAATAAAAATTTAACATATCAAACAAAATATAAAATATTTTAATAAAAATAAAATTTTATTAATAATATTTTTATAATATTATCCTTTTAATTTTATTTCAAAAATAGAATATTAAATGAAGAGAATTTTAAAATTTATACTTTAATTTTAAAAAATAAGATTGTGAAGAATATTTAATTAGCATTGTTAGCATATATAAATTTTTTTTAGAATATCTTATAAATTAAGATAGATAGAGTATTATCAAACTTTAAATTGGAGTAAATTTATAAAATTATATTAGACAAATCTCATATCATGCATAATTTTTAACCAAGAAATAATACCATATTCTCAATTGAAAATTTGAAATGCTCCCTCTAATTTTATTTATATGATAAAAAGAGAATAATTTACTTTATTTATAAATCATGTTATTAATTTTTTATGATAAGGTTCCCTTCTACCTCCCATTAAATGCTAGTGATAAAAAGTATGTTATTAAAAGCAAGCATGTTTGCAAAGAGCGAGGTTTATTAAATTTACAGATAAGGTTAATAAAAATTAAAATTTTCCTTAATTATGATTAGAAACAGTGAAAAGAACTTTGATGAGAGAGAAAATGGGTAAAAGTTGTGTGTTGGGGCGGTTAAAGAAGAAAAAGAGAAAGGGTAGGGGCAGAGAGGGAGCAGAAATAATAAAAGATCACATGAAAGGGCAAAAAAGGGAGGGGGGAGGGGGGCAGTAGTAGTAAATAGAGACAGGCTTTAGGAACAGGACAATAGTTGGTGGGAGAAATTAAGAAAGAGGGACTCAATTTTTGTGGTTGCAAATTAATAGAGAGAGAAACACAAGTGAACCGAAGAGATGAGGGAGATTAGTTGTCTGATGAGGTCAAATTTTGGGGAAACAAGAAATTTAAGAAACTAGAATATTCTAACCCGTTTCAGAGACTTCAGAACGGAACCATCCAAGAATCTCTGTGCCAGTTATGTACTTTCTCTTAACTTTACTTTTCAATACTTTCTTCATTAACAAAACGTACAGTATTTTTTAAAAGTTAAATATTTAAAAATATAAAATATTTTAATTTTTTTTAAATATAATTATTATATTTTTAAAAATACTTCTATTAATTAATGACTTTATATTTATTATAAAATATTTAATAAAAATAAATATAAAATAATAAAATTAATTTAAAAGAAAGTAACTACTTTATTGAGGATAACATTCAATTAAAAATATTTTATATTTTTAAATAAATAGAGCATACTTCTTCCATTTTGAATTATAAAATATTTTTAAACAAGATTTAACATTTTAAAATATAAAATATTTTAATAAAAATAAATTATATTAATATTATTATTTTCATTATATTTTCTCTCTTCAATACTTTTTCATAAATAAAATAAAGATATTTTTAAAAATTTATATTTTTATTTTTAAAAAATAAAATTTTAAAGTATATTTAATAAATTTTATTAATATATGTAAATATTTAAAAATATTTTATAATTTAAAATGAAAGAAGTTTTTTTTTCTTTTCCATCGGCACTTGACAGGGATAAATGGCATGACTTATAAGAAGGGTTACGGTGAATTAATTCCTTCGTATAAAAAGATAAAGCATTAATCAGCTTGCTTTTTCCCCCAAAACCATCCCTGTTTACAAATTTTCAGAATTCTTTTTTTTTTAGATGGATGATTTTAAATAAGAGTGATTGTGAAAAATCATTTCATTCTCAGACTATTCTAATGATTTTTTGTCATTCATACTCTCACTTCAGTTATTAGTCCTCTAGAAGAAAATGGTTCACCAGAACTTTAATTATAATTATGAAGGCACTTGCGTAAGATATTGGACAAGAATATGATTGAAAATATGTACTCTTACCATCTAAAAATGGAAAATATTTTTAAAATTTTAAAATATAATTATTGTGTTTTTTTAAAATATCTTTAAAGAATAGATCACTTTATATTTATTATAAAATAAAAAATTTTATTAAATAAAAATAAATATAAAAAGATGATATTATTTTGAAAACAAGTAACCACTTTATTAAGTGATGAGATTTAATTTAAAATATAAATTTAATAGAGGGAGGATAATTTTATAAAATATGAACAAAAGTAAATAACTACTTTTTGATAAAATAATTAGAAGTGTCTTACTCCCTTAATTCCTATAGATAAGGTATTTTTTTTAAAAAATTATTTTATCTTTAAATATAAAGGGTGTTATAATTTTTTTAATAATTAAACAATTTTACTGTTGTTTTAAAAAATAAAAAATATTAATTATGTATTTTATTCATCACCACTATAATATTAATTGTGATGTTATTAACAGCAGCGCTGGAAAAATTGCAATTAAAAATATTTTGCCTCTGAAATGAAGACCGGTAAAGTACAGATCCATGCCGCCCCTAACACTTCGGTTCTAAATGCCTGCCTCAACCATCCCACTTTCTATCCTTATTATCAAATTACTCTCTCTGATTTTTAATCAAACACAAATTTAAATGTTCTTTTCATCTTCAATATAAAATATAGTTAAAATAATCAATACTTTTTTCTATTTTAAAATAAAAGATATTTATCAGTGAAGAAGGGGAGGGCTTGCAGGCGTGGATTATTTATAAATGTTGGGGGAAAAGTGTACAAAAACAAGGACGGTGATAATATTTTTGTTTTTGTGACGTGACTAAACAACAAAAACTAAGGTGACACCTACAAACATTTCATGCAAAAGCCACATTATCCGGCTGCTTTATCCCCTTGCTTCTCTACCATTCTGTTCTGGTTTTTTTTTTTTTAATAAACCGTTATTATATTGACTGTACCAATTTTTGTTGGCATTGTATTATTATTATATTTTTCTCATCAAATTTCACTTGTTTCATATTCATCCATAACCCTGCTCTGCCCTACTTTTTAATTCCCCAAGCTACCCATCATGTTTACACTTGGTGTGTGTTTGTGTGTCAACACTACAACCTTGTCCTTGAAAAAAAAGACAATAAATAATAATGACGAGGAAGGGAACTTGTGGAAATGAATGGAACACGAACATAATGTCGTTTTTTCACACTCATAAAAATCAACAAGTGTGTTGTGAGTTGTGACCCCATTTGTAACAATATTTATTTAATTTGTTAATCATTTTGGACCCAGAGCACCACCACCATTTTCTATTCTATATTACTTTTCCCCCACTCCGTGCTTGTTAGTTTTCACCCATGTGGGCCATACCATGCACCCCTGGGCCCTTTGTTTTTATGATTATATGGGTCCCTCATCACTCATCAATGCCATGTAAATTACCTTCTCCATCTTTTCCGTCATAATTACTTGTGCTTTTTGATGTCCACACATCCTATTTTTATGACTTTTTTCATTTTTACCACCTTTATTTTATTCCCCATACTACTTTTTTTTTCATGACTTTTAGTATCTTAAATTTTGACCAAACTAATCCGATCAATTAAGGATACAGCTTTTCGGAACTCTGATATCTCCATTTACTTATAATTATATTCTTCATGTCTAAAAATATAAAATATTTTTTGTAAAGTTTAATGTTAAAAAATATAAAATATTTTTAATTTTTTGATATGTAATCATTATTTTTTTCAAAAGTATCCCTATTGATAGCAACTTTATATTTATTATAGGGTATTTACTAAGAATAAATATTAAAAAATAGGGTTAGTTTGAAAATAGATAACTACTTTATTGAAAAAATAAAATTCGATTAAAAATATTTCATATTTTTAGATAGAAGAAGTATTATTTTTTTTATTTTATTTTGAGCTCGGCATGGCAAGCCTTTGATTTTAATTGATTTGATCAGCAATTGAGAACACTTTTTTTGAAGGGTATATCTTCCATCAACAATTTAATTGTTGCTGCATACTCATGATTTGAATTTAGGATCTTTAATTAAGCTGAATCTTTCATACTATTTTTTTTTTTTGTATGAACTTCAATATCTCATGTTTTTAACCCAAACTAATTCTGTCAGCAATTGATGATATTTTTTTTGGAACATACCTCTCACCAAGAACTTAATCATTGCTGCACGTCTAGGTTCCACTTCATTATTAATTTCTCCTTTGTTTTATTTTGGGCTCGGTATGGCAAGCCTTTGATTTAAATTGATCTAATCAGCTATTGAGAACATGAAGGGCATATTCTCCATCAAGAATTTAGTTGTTACTGCATACTCATAGTTTGAACTAGGACTGTGCAGAAAAACTTTAAATTCGGTCTGTTTGGTCTGACCCGGTTTTAAAAAATTCAACCTGAACAAAAGACTGGACTGAACGGGTCAGACTGCACATACGGGTCAAACCAGACTAGAGACTGCTCTTTCGGACCAATCAGTCCGGCCCGGTCTAGGTTGTTTTTTTAATATTAAATATTGAATAATTATATTATTTACAAAAAAAAAGATCTTACTTAGTTGAGCCCAGTAACAGTACCCTCACACCTCACGTGCATGCTTCAGACTCGGTCTCTGAAT